TGGCAATGCTATGCATTTAATAAGGTGTTTTTTTAGCATGTTGCAAACTTGCAATGCAGTTGCTGGGATATATGCAAAGGTGCTGGTTGTTAGTTGTTCTGAGTTTTTATACGGTTGCTAGGGTGTTCGTGGTCATTGGCAGGATGTTCCTGTGCAGTTGTTAAGGTGTTTGTGTGGTTGTTCACACATTGCTAAGCAGTTGCTAGAGCATTCTGGTGGGCTGTCAGGGCTTTGTAATGCGGTTGCTAAGGTGTTGTAGATTGTTACTGTTTTGCTATGCAGTTGCTAGGGTAGAAGCCATGATTTTGCCATAAGGTTACTAAGGTGTTCTGAGGTAATGTTAAAGTCCCCATGAAATCAAAATTAAAGTTTTTTGGGTGTTAGTATCAATATGTTAGTCTTAAGGTTATCTATAAGGCAGTGTGCTCCAAAACAGTGACAACATTTGCATTTAGAAGATATAAACATTCAAAGCTTGCAGTTCGTCACTTCCGCCAAAACGGCTCAACTATTTTTTTGACGTCACATCGTACTTCAGCTTCTCATCAAACTTTCTGTCCAATCAAATGCTCTCTAGAATCCGAAGCGCCCGCCCCCTACTCTATAAAATAGACGCTGAAGCCGCGGCTGAAATCGGTCACTTGTCCACAGAATTAGTATTTTCTGTACAGTGAATGGCACGTAGTGCACTATGTAGGGGACAGGGAACGATTCAAACAGTGTAAATATGCTTTTCATTGCGGAAAAAAATAAGTCTGGTTTCGTGCTGTGTCACGCTAACCACCGCACTGCACACACACTCTGCTCCGGTCCAGAGACACGATAGCATGGAGAGGATCACATGTGCGAGTCGGCGCAGACCACAAAATGTATCGGAGCTATTTGAATTCTACACAGAATGCTATATTTTATAGCAATATGGATGAGATTGTGTCTGGCATACCCTGTCAAATGCGGCTTTACGGAGCTCAACGGCTCTGAACGGCTCTAGCCCAAGCTGTGATATAAACGAACGCTATTGGCTATTTTAAAAAGGGGCGGGGCTGCTTGATATCCCGCCCTGTCTTCCTGTTTCAGTTCAAATGACGTCAACACATAGAGTAACTCTGCGTGTTTCTAAGCATTTCAGGGGACCTTTAATGACTTTCTAAACTGTTGCTAGGATTTTTGGGAGGTGTCTATGGTGTTCTGAGTGGTTGGTTTAATGTTACTATGGTAACACAATGCTAAATAGTTGCTGGGTGGTTGCCAGGCCATTGCTATGTAGTTGCTAAGGTGTTCTGAGTGGTTGTTAGAGCTTTTCTGCATGGTTGTTAGGGTTTTGTGTCTCGTGCAAGAATGTTGTTTTACATTTGATAAGGTGTTGCGAGTGTTAATTCATTGCTATGCAGTTGCTATGGTAGAAAATAGTGTGTTGTCATAAGGTTGCTAAGGAGTTAACAGTAATGCCTTTTTAATCAGTTGTTAGCATTTCTTCATGGTATCTAGGGTGTTCTGACTCTGAGTTGCTAGAGTGTTGTGGGTGGTTGTCAGGGCAGTGCTTGGTTGCTAAGGTGTTCTGAGTTTTCTGTTTAATAAAGTGTTATTAGTGCTTGACTTGTTAGTCATTGCTATGCAGTTGCTAAGGTGTTCTGAGTTTTCTATGTTTAATAAAGTGTTATTAGTGCTTGTTAGTCATTGCTATGCAGTTGCTAAGGTGTTCTGAGTGGTTGTTAGGACTTTGCTATGTGGTTGTTAAGGTTGCCTCTTGCAAGCGTATTGCTATACATTTAATAAAATGTTGTAAATGTTTTTTAGTATGTTGCTATGCAGTTGCTAGGGTGTTCTGGATGGTTGCTATGGAGGTGATAAAGTCTTCTGATTGGTTTTTAGCTCATTGCAGTGCTGTTGCTAGTGCAGGTGCTAGGTATTCTGAATTAATAATGTTAATGCATTTCTAAAGCTGCTAGGATTTTTGATTGTATTTATGGTGTTCTGGACTGTTGGAATGATGTTACTATGTGGCTGCTAAAGTGTTATTATGAGGGCAGATGCCAGAGTCTTGTGGTTATTTCCTTTAACCAGGAAATTAACGTTCTTAGAATTGACAAGACGGTTGACCCTGAGTGGTCAGCTAAATATCTACAGTGGATCTAAAATATGAATAGTTAATTATAACTAGTTATGGTTAATTATTCATATTTCCCCATGAGCTAAATTCGCTACAATGGTTTTTAAGCTGTTCTGAGTGGTTAGTAGAGCTTTGCTTTGTGGTTGCTAGGGTATTGTGTCTATTGTGTTGCTAGTTGCCATGGTGTTGCTATGCAGATAATAAAGTGTTCTGACTACTTTTTTTGCATGTTGTATTGCAGCTGCAATGAAAGATGCCAAGGTGTTGTTATATGGTTGCTAAGGCATTCTTAGGATTTTGCTAAGTGGTTGCTAGGGTTTAGTGTCTCAGTGCAAGGGTGTTGCTATGCAGCTGATAGTGTTGTGAGTGCTTATTGTTACATTCATATGCAATTTATGGGGGTTTCCAGGATGTTGCTGTGTGGTTGTGAGTGTGTTCTCTGCAGTTGTTGGTATGCGGCTATGCAGTTATTAAGGTGTTTTGGAAATGGGGTAACAAAATGTTCTGGGTGCTTGTTAGGGTGTTTGAGTGGTTGTAATGTTAGGGTGTTCTGGGTGGTTGTTAGGGTGTTCTGAGTTGTTGTTAGGGTGTTCTGAGTGATTATTATGTTAGGTGGTTGTTATGGCATTCTGAGTGGTTGTTAGGGTGTTCTGGGTGGTTGTTGTTGGTTACTAGATTGATATGGGGTAACAAGATGTTCTGGGTGATTGTTAGGGTGACCCGAGTGGTTATTTGGGTGTTCTGGGTGGTTGTTAGGGTGTTCCAAGTGATTATTAGGGTGATCTGAGTGGTTGTTATGTTAGGGTGGTTGTCAGGTTGTTCTGAGTAATTGTTAGGGTGTTCTGGGTGGTTGTTGTTGGTTACTAGTGTGTTGATTTGGGGTAACGAGATGTTCTGAGTGGTTGCTAGGGTGTTCTGGTTGGTTATTAGTGTGTTGATATGGGGTAACAAGGTGTGCTGAGTGGTTGTTAAGGTGTTCTTGTTGGTTATTAGTGTGTTGATATGGGGTAACAAGGTGTGCTGAGTGGTTGTTAGGGTGTTCTTGTTGGTTATTAGTGTGTTGATATGGGGTAACAAGGTGTGCTGAGTGGTTTTTAGGGTGTTCTTGTTGGTTATTAGTGTGTTGATATGGGGTAACAAGGTGTGCTGAGTGGTTTTTAGGGTGTTCGGGTTGGTTGCTAGGGTGTTCTGAGTGGTTTACTGGACCAGTCATCAATTTCCAGGAAACACATGTACTAATAAAAATTGTATACACTGAATGCACTGTTAAAAAAATAACAGCTATTGGTGCAGATATGATATATTTCACATTCAATAACATTAGTGGGCGATAAACAATTACATTGAAGATTATGTCCATATAATTGTACATCAGAATATGATCACATTTTATGCACAACAGATCTCATGAAAGTACTCCTTATTTTAACTGATGGGACTTCACATTATCTCATTGCATGTTTTTCCTAACTGGGTCACATTTTACATTGTTTTTCACCCACCAAATTTAGACCCAATCAACAGTCAGACGTGTTAATATTATCAGGGTAACCCGTCTGCACTTTTGCTTTATTCTGCTTGCACTTGAAACGTTAGTGACATGCTGAGGCCACAAACACTAAAGTGAAGCCCACACACAGACGCAAGGATTCTCTGTCTGAGTCATATGAGAGCTCTATAACACCACACAGCCCTCCAAACACACATTGCATGCATGTCAGTCTGGATTGTAAAGATAGATGTGTGTGTGACATTTAGAAAGAACTAATGCTGATACAATCATGTTTTCCACACATCCTACACACTCTTACAGCTGTGGTAAACTACTCTTCAGACGCAACAGAAGCTCAGCTGCTCTTTTGAGACTGTGTATCTTCTGAGGACAGTTGAAGAGCAGTTTCAGTACTAAACCGGAGAGAAACATTTAACCTCAATTCTGATCCTCTCAGCCTCACATTGGCACCAGTGGTTAGCGAATGTTCAGACGAAACAGTGTAAAACAGAATTGTTTTTGTGTTTTGGTTTGCATTTCGCTATTTCCTAAATGTGTATCTATTAGATGCTGCAGTGGTTACTTGAGTGATGCCCCTGAAAGTTTCCGACATATTTTAGATATATAGTTTGAATGTGGGCCTTCAGACAACACTTACACAAAGGGCAATTGCTAATTGTAAATGTACCACAATTAACAAGTGTCTCAGTATTAAGTGTTGCATTTCACATCTAAATTGTATATATCTGTGCCAGTATAAATGACAGCCTTTAAAATAATTAAATACACACCCTGATCTGACAGGTTTTGGTTAATTGCCACTAGATGGCGCTTTGCATGTAATCTTAAAACTAGGCTAAACGCACTGAAAAAATCCCCCAAACCTAAAAAAAAAAAAAAAAAAACCTTCTCTATTGGACTTGACACACACACACACACACACACACACACACACACACACACACACACACACACACAAACACACACATGTACGTTCTCATAAACTCAAATAAAATCTGAAAGAAAAAAAAAATGTATCAGGTGGGTTAATAGTATTATCTAGTCCCTAACTAAAAACTTGTGCAAAACACTAGATTTAAATAGAAACATGATTTGGTTGTAAATTCACTAGTTGGTAATCAACAGGTTTCACTATGTTAGTGAGGACATTTTGGACCTCGCAAGTTAAACTTGTACACAGAATAAGTTTATAGTTCATTTAAAATGAGTAAGTGTTTCGTGCACATCATCTGATATTACAGAAACATTTCTCCTTTCATGGAATGACATGTAAGAAAGAGACATTAGTCATTACATAACCCCTCCCTCCTTCCTCTGTCTGATCCCATCTATAAATTCTACTGTCCTCCTCCCACAAGGGTGGATTTGGTATGATCCACTTGCCCAAGACCTGAGGTCTGGGTCTGAGCAGAGAGATACGGCCACTGGCGCTGTTGCAGAGGACGTGCACGACTGAATCTACTGCCTAAAGCCTCACAGAGAGAGAAAGAGGGGGGAGATGAGCTGTGCTAGAGTCCAGTCTTGCTCTGGGACGGCAGACTGACTGAAGCTGCTGGTAGTTTTACAGCTGTGCATCTCTGTCACTCTGGAGTCATGAGCTCAAAGGGGACGAACCTCCACAACAAGCGTCTGCCGTGTGAGTATTTCACCTTTAGTCGACTTATTTTGTTCATCTTCTTAAACTTGGCTTCACATTAAGCATGGCATATGACCAGTCATTAATTAACAGAAGAATCATTGTGTCCTTAAAGAATATGTATAAGAAAAACTGGGGCTAGTTGTCACATTTTTACCCCAGTGAATATTTCTCATTGTATGTTTATTTTTTGATTATAATTGTTACAATATACAAACCATAAAGTCTTGGCAGCTCTTGAACATTTCCATCTTCTTTGCCCAGTAAGTTTACTTTTCACTGTTATTAAACATGCCAACCTGTTATAATAAACTTAAAGTAAACATTCACATATTCTACATATGAGAATGTAAGTCAAAACATATTACCTGTTATTTTCACTGGAGTATCACCAATAACACCATTAAATAGGCCTCCCTTATTTGTACTCATCACTTCCTTGGCTGAATAAGGAAAGATTATCTAAAACGGTCTGAGCTGTGGCTCTGTTTTATTTTAGCCTATCATAGTTTCCTGTGTAGACTGCAGGGATTTCATTTATAACCTCATTGTGGAAAGTCTTGCTTAGTTTTCTTAGTATTGTTTTAAATGTTATGTAGAATTTCTATTTTAAGGGGCTTCAGTCATTGTTTTGACCACACATTTAAAGAGCCAGATTGGCTTGATGAACCTGCCAAAGCTTAGAGAGCAAAGACGTACTTGGTTCTAGATTTGTTGTGTGTACCCTGACTGCAATCCCTCTAAATGGGATTGTTTTTCTGCCATTTTTAGCAGATGGACTGTGGGTACAATCCAAGTTCCCACACTCACTGGTTACACACACACACACACACACACACACACACACACATGCTTGGAGGTTGAGACTAGAAATTAGATTGGCCACAGGATAATTTGCCTCACTATCTTTCAATTTTGCTCACATTATGAGTAAAGTGTCCATGTCTGTCAAAGAGATTTAGAGATTTGTGCCCCAGATGTTTAAGATGCTGTCATTCAGGTTTTGTGGAATGACTCTACAGGAATTGTACTTGTCTTGGAATTTGCTAATTGTCTTGGCTTGCATGATTATGATAATGTTTCTGATTTGTCAAAAGGCCACATGGTAAAATGGAATAAAGGTGGATAGATAGATAGACAGACAGACAGACAGACAGATAGACAGATAGATAGATAGATAGACCATCAGTATGGTATTCAATAATAATCTGATGGTATTCATTGTAAAAAAGTATTCATAAATCCAGAAAATCAAATGGCGGCGGAAGATAGCATAACAATGGGAAGAAATTTCATTGAAGTTACAAGGAAACATTTAATCTATTTACTTTAGGAGCTTGTTTTAATGACATCTGAGAAAAAGATAACATTCATTTTGGTGGACAGCACAGACTTCTCTACTCCCTGTTTCATAAACCTCATTGTGGAAAGTCTTGCTTAGTTTTCTTAGTATTGTTTTAAATGTTATGTAGAATTTCTATTTTAAGGGGCTTCAGTCATTGTTTTGACCACACATTTAAAGAGCCAGATTGGCTTGATGAACCTGCCAAAGCTTAGAGAGCAAAGACGTACTTGGTTCTAGATTTGTTGTGTGTACCCTGACTGCAATCCCTCTAAATGGGATTGTTTTTCTGCCATTTTTAGCAGATGGACTGTGGGTACAATCCAAGTTCCCACACTCACTGGTTACACACACACACACACACACACACACATATGCTTGGAGGTTGAGACTAGAAATTAGATTGGCCACAGGATAATTTGCCTCACTATCTTTCAATTTTGCTCACATTATGAGTAAAGTGTCCATGTCTGTCAAAGAGATTTAGAGATTTAAAGATGTTTAAAATGCTGTCATTCAGGTTTTGTGTAATGACTCTACAGGAATTGTACTTGTCTTGGAATTTGCTAATTGTCTTGGCTTGCATGATTATGATAATGTTTCTGATTTGTCAAAAGGCCACATGGTAAAATGGAATAAAGGTGGATAGATAGATAGACAGACAGACAGACAGACAGATAGACAGATAGATAGATAGATAGACCATCAGTATGGTATTCAATAATAATCTGATGGTATTCATTGTAAAAAAGTATTCATAAATCCAGAAAATCAAATGGCGGCGGAAGATAGCATAACAATGGGAAGAAATTTCATTGAAGTTACAAGGAAACATTTAATCTATTTACTTTAGGAGCTTGTTTTAATGACATCTGAGAAAAAGATAACATTCATTTTGGTGGACAGCACAGACTTCTCTACTCCCTGTTTCATACTTTCCTCATGACTCATTATCAAGTCAGTCAACCCGTGGACTCTACTAGAAATTCCTCTCAGTTTGTTCAACTCACACTGTTCTTTGTGGTACTTTACTGTGAATCTTAGTTTATCTAAGCAGAACAGCTGAATTGGGGGTTGCCTTATTAAAGATGCTGAAGTAAATGTGTCTAGGAGGTTAGTGTGTGTGAATGACTTCATTGTCAGATCGCTAGAGAGATTTGGGGTGTTTTCTGGGTTTTGTTTCCTTATTTCTAAAACTTACATACCCACACATTCCGCACACACAAAAGCAACTCCCACTATTACTAATTCAGTTAGTTTAGGAAACCACAGACATGCGTGTATATTTGACACATGGCATGACAGGGGATTTCTGTTTTATACAGTAACTATTTATGCTTTTGTTATATTATCAGACTTTCAGGAATACGCTCTAGTAATACTTAGACACTTAAATGTAATTAATTGTGTTATCTGCACAATAGTAAGAAAATTAATAGGATGCCAAACAGGATTGAAGCCAAGAGCCAAAGTCAACAGATGTTCTACAATGAAGTTATTTTTTATTTAAACTGTGATAATAGCAATGTATTTCTACTTCTTTTTGTTTAAGAAGAACACACACACACATACATATATGTAAATGTTATATACTGTATATATATATACAGATTAGATAGATGGAAGATTTGCATAACGCCGCCCAAATGTTCACGCAAAGAAAGAAGGCGTAACTCTTATTCTCGCTGTAGTATTGTTGTTGCCGTCGCCACCATGTCGTGGAGGCGCTGTGTGTTTCGTTGTGAAAGCGAAACTACTTTGTTTGGCCTTCCAAAACGCTCCTTTGTCGAATCTGCCAGCCGGCCCGTTCTCAAGCCCGCCCGCTGCCACTCACTCAAGCCGGCCTCCACTCACTCAAGCCCGCCGTGTGTTTCATTGTGAAAGCGAAACTATTTTGTTTTGTCTTCCAAAAGAGGACATGACTAGAAATTAGTGGTTAAGTTGTATTTACAACACTGTTCCAGAACAGTTCAACCCAAATATTCAGATGTGTGCAGCACATTTTATGGAGGACTGTTTCCTGATCCTGGGAGAGTAGACTACAATACCGGTTGTTCTGACTCACAGTCTGTAAGTACGTTTTTTTATATTTAAAGAATTTGCCACTGACAATTCAAAGTGAGTTGTGAATAGTGTAGAGTAGCGCTTGTTGTTTGTCATTTCTCCGATCACAAATGCAGACATGGTTTTATGTTTACACGGTGCGATGCAAAGCAACGTGTAAAAAGACAGTATAAGTCATTATAATCAGTAATTATGTCCCCACTGGATGCAACAAATGCCTCGTTTATAATGGGTTTTAATGACCGGGACACGGCATCACAGTATGGTAGGGGCATAACATTTCCGTCACACGCTTGTGGTATTCGGCCAATCACAACGCACTGGATAGCTGGCCAATCAGAGCACACCTCACTTTTCAGAAGGCCTCCCTTATTTGTACTCATCACTTCCTTGGCTGAATAAGGAAAGATTATCTAAACCGGTCTGAGCTGTGGCTCTGTTTTATTTTAGCCTATCATAGTTTCCTGTGTAGACTGCAGGGATTTGATGAATCGAACCATAAAAATCGACGCGTTTCAGAAAGGCGGAGCATAGAGGAGAAACAATAATGTACAGTATGTGGAAAATAATGTGTTTTTTGAACCTTAAACCGCATAAACACATTTCATTACACCAAATACACAAAATACTGTTCTTTTTAGCAACGTCATATGACCCCTTTAATTTAAATGTATTATTGTGATTGAAGGAAATTGATTTAACACGTTTTTAAAAAATGTGACTTAACTGTGGATATTTTATTAATGGGTGTTTCTGCAACTTCGGGCACTTTTAAGTCCCAGCAGTGAAATTTTCGATTTATGTTAAAATTTGTCATATGATGCTTTATAAATATATTGTACAGTGTCATTACACACCTTGACACAAAATATAATTAATGATTAATGTGATTTAATATAAAATTATGAAGCATTTATAGGTCTAAACACCATGTTTGTTCATGTCCCACAACTCTGGTCACAATGTTGAGATACAAAAAATAAGCTAATTGAATTACAATTTGACATTATTTCAAATGGAATTGTTTAATATGCATATTAATTTACAGCATCTTAAATTGTTTTGCATTATTTACTGATAATTGTTATGATTTTTATATGTGCCTGTCCCACACTTTTGAGTCCTTACCGCAACAATGAAAAAAGGCTTTTATTATGACATTTTATCAAAGACAATCAAGTCTAGTTTCTATAGAAACAGAAATTAGCACGTGAGCACATTGCTGACAGACTGGGCCACCTCACTCACAAGATCCCAAAAATATAAGGTAAATATAATATTTTCTGTGTCAGTATTTATTGTATGTCCTAACCATACAGCTTAGTAATTATGTACTTTGAACTACATTTTAAAAATAAATGTATATTACTGTTTAATTCATGTATATTAAGATGCTAAGAGTCTAAACTAATGTAGTAGACCTTGCTAGCTGCCAATTAGCTGCAATATCGGCAAAAATGTAATTTCTGCAACATGTCTTTACCACAGCAAATTTAGCTGTTGCGGTAAAGACCTTGTGTTGCGGTAGAGACAAGTTCAAGGTTTACTGTATATTAAATTACAAATATTTCATATGTTGTTCTCTACAGTAGCC